AAAAAAAAATAATAATAAATAAATTAATGTCCATGGGTTGCGGTTATCACTTAACTTCAGGAGAATCGCCAAGTAGCTAGCCCCCTTCTCACGTAAAAAAAATGAAACTTTATTACCACTTTTTAAATTTGGAGCCTTATTCGGCAATGGTCTGCTAAGTTCTTCCAATTCGCTGAAGTTGTCAGTTTGTTTTCATACCATAAGTCAATCATTTTACATTCCTGGTAGCCAATACATTGAACCAAAATGTTTCTTTTAGTAACTCAATCGTTTAACGCGCTGTGTGGCATGTAGCCTCGTCGCGTTGTAAAACATGTTTTCAGTAAACATCCCATCCAACGGAGTCCTATTGTCAATTATGGCTTTATACCGTTTTTTGTTGACAGTAACATTTTCGCCGGAACAATTATTCCAACCGCCTATGATGCACACCGTACACTGATCTGTCGTGGCTACAGCAATGCTTTTGAAATCTCCTGTGGGCTTTCGTCTTTGAATTTTACTGATATGCTCATTGAGCCTATTCTAAAAACATGTTCACTTAGCAATAACTAAACGCACCATCACTTCTTTACAAGTATAAAATAAAGTCGCTCCCGATGTTTGTGCGCTTTGATCTTTCAAACTACGCAGCGGGTTTTAATGCATCTTATTTCAGCAATAGATAGAGCGATTTAAGAGGAAGGTTAGAAGGTAGTATACATGCATTATATAGTAGAGAACAGACGAGAAATTCAATATATAAAGTGCACCCGTGTGAAGCCGTGGGTCACTAGTTTACGATATAAATGTAGTTTACTTTTTGTGCACCGATAGTACGATGCAAAGATACAAAGATTCTTGTTAATGCTCCAGCGGGACCTAAGACCAAGATGCTTACGTAAATTTTTCGTAAAGTGGATGGGCATAGCTCCAATTGTTGTGGCGGGAAATCAACTGATTTAGGTCCTCCTCAATACTACACTCTGCAGCAGCAATTGTTTCATCAGATTGAACGACATTTTTGAAGATCCGAATTATAATTTAAGAGTGTATGATGTGCGAAAATGACGCACTTATTTTTTTTTTCATCGAAATAAGAAATATACATTTCATTTATCGATAGTAATTTTTTAAATCTACCACCGTTTCGTAATGAGGTTCCTCTAATTAGTTATTCTAATCAGTCGCTCTGGTGGATGGTTGTTTTGACACTTTAAAAAAACCCTCCTATAGACTCCTGTGTTATCAACTCAAGTTAAGGTGGTATTACAAAAAAGTACGTTCCAATCAGATTAGTTTCCTGGCATTTCACTTAAATGTTTTAAACATGTTTAGCACGGTAAGCCTTACATATCTAAAACACTCATCAGCACACCTGGCCCCACAAAAAGTTAAAAGATACTTATAAACCTAGTGACTTAATGAAACTAGCTCGGTGATGTTGTTTCGAAAAACATACAATAACTTTCCAGTCCCATCATTAAGTTCCTATACTTATCATTGACTCTTCATTCACTCCGTATTTCATTACATATTCTTTGTAAGTATATCCATTATTATGTGTACTCGCGTGCACATATGTATCCTTACTCACCCCTTTATTACTAACCAACATTTTAAATTTCAAAGTCAAGGTATATTTATTCAATATAGGCCTAACTTAAGCTCTCAATTACAAATTAACGTTCAATACATCAACAAAAAATCTACCACCGCTTCACTAAACTAGACCTGCACAGGGAAGAACCGGCAAGAAACTCTGCGGTCTTGTTCTTTTTGTTATGTTTTTTGATGCAATTATACACACTTATTTATTAATGTATACAAAATGACGTGTAAAAGGTGCTTAGATAGATAATAGAATAGATAATCACGTCAAATAGTGTTCTATCGCTTATATCAGTTTGGTAAGAAACGTTAAAGGAGAATGGCTGAACCTTCAAAGTTTACACGGGATAAAATTTAGTTATTATTCTTTGTTAGGCTAAAGAAGTATCATCAAGCATCTTATGTACGTACACACACGTTTTTTCTTGATTTACAAATCAACTTTTTTTTTAACCTTGGCTCAAGCCATTTATTTTAGTGTTAAACCGTGACCATGAATTTTGCAAATAAACCTCGAAATTTCAGAAATTTAATTTAAATTAAGTGCTAAAGTAAGTGCGATTAAATAAAACCCCAAAATTATAAAGTCGTGCGTCGGAGGTCGTGGTTTCGATTCCCACACGGGACGACTATTTGTGTTGCCCAAAGATAAGTTGTTTCGTTAATTTGAAATTTATGTTTGTAAAACGTCCTTACAAAACAGGATAATTTTATCCTTTATACGGCAGGTATGTTTTGAAAAACCAAGGCCAATTGGGAGTCGGACTCGCGCATGAAGGGTTCCGTACCATTATCTATGAAAACGAGAAAAAGAAAGTTATGTCTGTTGTATAAGTCCCCACTTAAATATTTTTTTTCGTGTTTTTCGTTATAGCTACAACAAAAATACATTATCTGTGAAAATTTCAACTGTCTTACTATCACGGTTCATGAGAAACAGCCTGGCGACAAACGGACAGACAGACAGACTGATAGACAGCGGAGTCTTAATAATAGGGTCCCGTTTTACCCTTTGGGTACGGAACCAAAGAAAAAATAATCGGTATAAGCGATAACATAATATTATACCTTCTCTTTATACGGGGAAAGGACTGCGATGGCATAGTTTTGAGCTGCCTCACGCATCTCATAAACAATTCGAATTGTAGACATCGCATCAGCGTCAAATTACACATTCCGTTGGTACGTCGTCACAACTGTCTGTCACGTACACTCGAATCTAATGTCGCCGTATGAAATTATTAATTAATCCGAATTGAACTGATTGCCTCGGCACACTGGAAACTTGTATACTGTTATGGATATCGTTTTAATTGGCAATGTTGTTCGTGTTACACCTCGCCTCGAGACTGATTACTATTATGTATTACGTTCTAGTTTCAATAACTTGGCATAACTTTAATTATTCAACATTTGTGTCCGGAATACGACGAGAAGTTGCGCTCTGTCAGTTTTTTAGCACTCGATAATATCGGTGGTGCATTGATGACATTGATTTTTGTAATGTGTTAGATGAAGGCAGCTAAATTATCTGTGTTATGAATAAACCAATCAGAAAAACCGGCATAAAGGAGTACTTCTACTTGAGTACGTATTGTGTGATGCTCGTGTATAGTGAATTAAAAGTCCTCGCCTTAAGCTCTCTATACTTGAGCAACCTGACTTCGATGCCCGGTGCCGGCACCAGTGAAATTATTATTAATTTTAAGCGACGTCTTATCTCGTGCTCAGCGTTGAAGGAAAACATCGTGAGGAAACGCATATTTTCGAAATTGTAACAAAAAATATTCCGAAAATATGTCAAGTCCACCAATCCGCAGTGGGGACGCTTGGTGGACTATGCCCGGACAATATCATAATTTTATAGATTTTATATTTCATTACATTTTTAACTTCTATGAAAGATAATAAGGTGCCTTTACCTATAACTCAGAATTATTCAATTTAAGCTTTTTAATTATTTTATTAGTTATCATAAAATAAATTAAAATAAGCAGAATGAGTTACAGTAAATTACAGTTTGATTTAATTAAAAATAAATGATCGAAAATTAGAATTTGATATCGAAGACTTAATAATATTTCAAGAAATTAAATTAAGAAACAAGTTTAATTCAATAACTTGTTCAAATTTTTGTTAAAACTCCAATGCCTTTTCTTGTATCGGGTTAAGAAATGCAAATAATCGGTTAATACTTGAGTGCCGTCTAACGTTACAATGCAACGTTAGACACTCATTTTGGTTATATACATCTAGCGATTGTGGTTTAGATATAAAATTTTAAGCATAGAACAGCTTCTAATTCAAATATCACATACTAACCTCTTCGCATGCAACACCACGTGAACACTTAGAAACTTAAAAAATATAAAAACCGCCCAAGTGCGAGTTGGACTCGCGCACAAAGGAGACCGTATATCATTATGTATAAAAACGGCAAAAAATCATATCACGTTGTAGCCCCACTTAAATATTTTTATTCTGGTTTTTAGTATTTGTTGTTATAGCGGCAACAGAACTACATTATCTGTTAAAATTTCAACTCTAACTATAACGGTTCATCAGATACATCCCGGTGACAGACGGGTAGACAGACAGACAGACAGCGGACTCTTAGTAATAGGGCGCAGTTTTATCCTTTGGGTACGGAACCCTAAATATGTTGTCGAGTTAGCATAAATATTAATTTCAATATATATTAAAATCTTGTGATATTTTTTTTATGTGAAAAGCCGCCAAGCGGGCTACCGGTTCACCTGATGTTAAGTGAATATATACCACCGCCCATAGACATCTGCTATACCTGAGGGTTGCAGATGCGTTTTCAACCATTTGAAAATTGGTCTCCGGCCACCTCATTCACCAGACGAAACGCGAAAGTATTGTACTTCCACTTTACGCCTGTCTTCTGTGAGGTCGTGGTACTTACCCGGACGAGACTGCCCATTCGTGCAACACGCCGAGGCTCTAGCGTGGCCCTACCACCGTAATAACAATAATTGTGATAGCAATCTAACGCATCATTTATACGTTTAAACATCATTGCTCAGATTAAAGAGTACAATTAGAGACAGCAGAAACTCGGCAGCCACTTTCTCTCGAATTATTTTCGGTGGTAAAGGCGTAGATAAGTTGGCCCAGGTTTATTCTCTCATAACTATTAAACGATAAAAAACGTAGTCATAATTAGGTGTCAAGTGTATAAATCTACGATAATGCCTACTTCTACATAAAAAATAAATAATAAAACTTACTAACTCAACCAATACGGAAGTACAATAACATTACAAAAAAACGCAAAAATAATACTGGATACTTAAAGGACATATCAAAAACAAATTTATTTTAATTTTTTTCTCTTGAACATCGTGAATTACTCTTCGGTATAACACATAAGGTATCGTACTTACCTCTTACATCGTGGTGCTTGTCACCTCCGTACCTCGCGTACGCAAAGAACAGGGCCATAAGGATCACTTGAAAAATAAGCACCGGCATGAACCTCATTCTCTTTTTCAATTTCAAAACCGTTTCTGAAACAAAGCATATCGTGTATATAAAATAAACATTACCTCACTCTGTCCCAAGGGCAAATTTCATTTGCTCACGTCGTAAAAAGGCCTTTAATTTGTGTGTATAAACGGAGATCTTAATTTGTGCCTTGATTTAATACTTTTAACATTAATCTTTGAACGGACTGTTGAACAACTGTTTCGGTTTGAGTAAAATATAAAATATGTTTAGATGCGCCTGTCTTTATAGCGGCCTGTCATTGTCGTGCTTTTTTCGCATTGGATGATTAAAAAGGTGCAGTGTGCTGTTTGTCGTCTGCCAAAGAAAATGTCTGTTGTGGTAGTCGTGTATTGATTGTAAAGAGGTTGTATAGTGTCGCATGTTTGGATGAAGAAGAAGATGAAACGTTTATTCACGGTCTAAGCACAATGGATACATACAACACTTAAAAAATAATGTAATAATATATATAAAATAATATTGGGAAAACTTAAAATAAATGTAAACATAACAACAAAAACAAACAGAATAATAATAATAAATGAAGGTCTGTGTAGCAACATAAGACCAGGAAACGGACGGGACTCGGTGAAAGCCTAGATACAGTAACTAAAATTCGTTCTGATCCCGACACCGGTTTTCAGTCCGAACCGCACTTCGAGGCAACTCAGACGGCTGCGTCAGTGCACTTGCAAATACCTATTAGCGGTACCTTAGGAACCTATATACATAATTTTTGATGTAAAATTTGACGATTTATAAGAGCGCGCAAGCGTCTATTTGAGTGAATATATTTTTGGTTTTGGTGGTTGAGAGCAAGTTACGGGTAGTCAAGAATATAGCTATACTTTAACATAAATACAAATAATTACAATTTTACAGACACATAATGCATGTATATATTATATTATTAGTATATGTTATATATACATACGAATCTTCTTAGTCCTTATATAAAGGTAGCGGTAAATGTCATCGAATTTTCGTATTTATACGTCCATATCAATTGTTTTTCCACTTTGGGGCCTTCATCGATAATTTAATTCCACTCCCGATAATTTCGGACACATGCGGATCGACTGTCGGCCATTATGCAATTGAGTGCACGCGATCGTATGTAATTTTAAAATTCACCGCCACGGTCCCACCTCACTCCGACCTCATAAATATGTCCGCGGCGTATTTCCCCTCGCATTTCACTTTATTGACAGCCCGAATGGCTTAGTGGGTAGTGTACCTGACTCCTGCGCCAGAGGGTGTGGGTTCGATCCCTGCTACTGGAAAATATTGTGTAATGAACATCGTGTTTTTCTAGTGTCTGAGTATTTACATATGTATAATATATATTTATTTACAAAAGAAAATTATGTTTCATCAGTTTTCTAGTACCCATAGTACAAGTGTTGCTTAGTTTGGTACTAGAGAATGTTGTGTAAAAACGTGTCCTAAAATATTTATTACTAGCTGCTGCCCGCGACTACGTCTGCGTAGAATAGGCTGAAGGCGTAACATTCAGAAAGAAAGACAGATATACATAAAATAAGTATATAAATTATAGCATATGTCTTATTCTGATGTATAAGATATATTATTGTAAAGTTTCATTAAAATACATTCAGTAGTATTTGCGTGAAAGAGTAACAAACATCCATCCATACATACAAACTTTCGCCTTTATAATATAAGTAAGGAAGGATTATTATTATTATTTCGATTGGAAGCAAATTCCGGACAGCATATTATTAATACCAGCCGAGATAATTATTTTTAATTGTATTATAATCAGTTATTGACAGCAGACTGCAAACATATAGCATATAATCTATCTCGACTAAGAATATTTGTCTACTCATCATCCTTATCCCGCGGGGTATAAGTGGGGTCGGCTCAACAGTTTAATTGTGTTGTAAGCGGTTTTGGCTATTTTTATACGACTGGCCGCCTGCTTGACGTCAACCCTACTTGGGAAACAAATACCCAGACCCGGAACAATTATCTGTGGGTCACGCAAATAAGTATTTGTGTGACTCACAGATAATTGTGTCGGAATCGAACCCATGATCCCCGACACCGAACAGATCACCGAACAGTGTGACCGAGTTAACAGATGTGAGATCTCATCTCTTTTAACACACTATCGATATCTTTACCACGTATATACCATTTGTATAAAAAATCACAACTCTGTTTGACCAATAATTTAATAAGAACCCTCAATGTACTTTGAATGGTGCTTGTGTATTATCGTGAAATATATCCGTTAAATATAACATAAAATCAAAAAGTTCTTACTTTTTCAAGATACAGCTTCGGATTAAATTATTATCTATACCACGAAAGAAATATTAAGATAAAATTATCATACGAAGTTTGCTTTTTAAAAGAATAAGAAGTGGTGTTATATTATTTACTTAATGGAAAGAAAAGAGTTTCGCAAAAATCAAGTTTTCAAGAGAGGATGTGAAAAACGCACTGAAATATTTGCTTATGATGTTATTTAAAATAATACCTTACGATAATAAGTGAAAAATAAAAACACAAACTAGATTTTTATAAGTAAATTATTAAGTATATTTATAGTGTAACTAGCTGATCCGGCAAAGGTTTTTTTGCCATATTTTTTCCGAAAAATAAAAATTAAAAAAACCTATTTTCTGTGTGATTGTGAATATACATATAAAATTTCATCAAAATCGGTCAAGCCGTTTCGGAGGAGTATAAACATTAAAACTGTGACTCAAGAATTTTATATATTAGATATTAGATTGTTTTTAGGTTAACAAGTGTATACTTTAATTATTAAAGTGACATGAACCTTACACTAAAATAACTACGGCGAATCGAAAAGACAATATAAATAAGAAAAAATAAAATCAATAAAAAACACACACACTACCATGTATAATTAATTACATTCGAATTTCGATCACTAGTTAATATAAACACAGAACACAATTTAATTAAAATCTCATTTAATAACAAATTAATTTCATTTGATATAAAGAAAAAATTATTCACCTGCCATTTTACAAGAGGATTGACACAGGCAAATGTCACTTCTGCGCTAGGGCCGAGCTGATTCTAACGGTCCCCTTCCCCGCTGAAATTGTTTACGCGCGAAATGTTGCAGAGCGTTAGCGCGTTCGGAAATCGTTTGGACGTTTCCAACAGCGCCGCACTTCTAGCGAGGGAAATGAAAATTAAGCGGAGCTAGCTAGCTAACACCAGCGATTTCATCCGCGCGGCTTTGGATTTTCCTGCTTTGGGAAATATCTAAATTGATTAAAAATCCTATGTAGTCGTACACACCTGTTTTATACTATTTATACTACACTTTCTAGATTTCTTCTTGGCTTAAACAACTAATTTATAAATTCCCCCTTGTAGTTAGATAGAGCCTAGACTACGGAAGCTACGACCCAAAGCGCAAAAGTTCAGACGAAAGATTTTTCAGGTGATTTTTGAGTCCTAATTTTAAGTTATTTTAATCTATGGTAACTTAATTACGAACTAAAATTTGACGTTTCAAAGGAACGCTCAATCGTCTATTTGAATAAAGATTTTGAGTTTGAGTTTATGTATAATGTTTTTTTATATAAGAATGCGGCAAACAAGCTGTTGCAATGATAACACCCATTGAGTGTTACTTTTGAGGCCGCGAAACTTCCAATTCGTGTCCAGTGAGGCCGTGGTAATTCTCCAATCGAGCTTCTCCATTCTTACAACAGCAAATACTGCTGCTGTACAAATCTCAATTGCACTTCAGCATTTAGCGAAAGTATTTTATAGCGTTATACTGTTGCAGTTTTTCAATTGTAATCAGATAAAATATGAAAAAGAAAAACTGTTAAAATAAATCATAATTGAAAATCGATTTAAAGTTTCATCTTAAGTGCAGAGACTAGCTCTAAAATAAAAATGAATCCCAAGTATTGTTTTCTTTTGTTTAGTTTATTAAAATTTTGTTTGTTTTTAAAAAGTCCTATTTTAGTAACGACCGTGACACATGTGTTAACATTCGCCTCGTTACTTACGTACGTATGTAATATAGTGGGTACGGAGCAAACTATTTGTTGGGGACATCGCTATGATAGCTGTAATGATGTGATGTGTTAATAAAATGACCTTGTTCTTGCGTTCGACGGTGTTTCACAAACACATTAATTAAATAAAATCTTTAATCACCAGCCTCAATAGAAACGCGGTGTATGGATACAAATGGAACTAGCATTTTTAGAAAAATATGAATTTGTTTTTAAAACACTTTTTAAATAACTTTCCAACGAGCCTTTACAGACTCATTATGTAAGTAATGTTATTTATCGTAAATTCTTGTAAATAAATGAATGATTTTCGTGCCGTGAAATCATCGCCCGCATGTAGTAAAGCGTCTGGGCGCGAAGCCACAAGACGCAGGTTTGAATCCCGCAGCGCCAAAAGATTATGCTCATATATCTACAAGTATTTACAATTTAAAGTTTCACCTTGAGTGCAGAGATGGGCGATTAATATTCTGAAATCTTTAAAATATTGTCTTTTTTCCTTTATTTGTTAATAACTCCGCGATAACGATGACGACCGCTTGCCTCAGTGCGAATACTTTTGCGACATATTTTTTATATCAAACTTATAATGTGTAAATAAAACATTAACACATTATAAGCTTACTATTAAGTTCAGAGACTAATAATGAAATTAATAGTAAAATTTCAACAGCGACGGTGACATCTCTAGTTTTTAAATACTTATTGCAAAAATGTCATTTCAGAAAGTGTACATAATTATAAGAAAACGAAATAAAAAATGCAACAAAAATAAAATTAGATAATAAGTCGAGTATTGCACGCGGTGAGGATGTAGACCGCTTAGCTCAGTGGCTAGATGGTGTGGACGTGTAATCGCAGATTGCCACCCTGGTGGCGGCAAACATTTGGGACAGTTTTATTTACAAATTTAATGTTTCATATTAAGTTCTCTCTGAACTAGTAATGTAAAGTGGAAGTATAATCGTCTGGTGATTGAGGTGGCCGGAGCCAAAATTTCAAAAGGTTGTCAACGCACCTCTAACCCTCGGGTGTAGCAGATGTCTATGGGCGGCGGTATTCACTTAACATCAGGTGGACCGTCTGTTCGCTAATTTTAACATAAAAATAAAATTAAAATTTTCACTTAAAAAAAATAAAAAAATCAACTTTCTACGGCGAAGGCGACGTCGGTAGTTTTCAAATACTTATTGCAAAAATGTTTACGATGCTTCTTCACATTGTTAAACAAAACTAATTTATGGATTTTTTACGTTACGTAAATTGTTTTCGACAATATTTATGATGAAGATTGTCAATTTAGAAATCATTTTCACGCAGTAAGATTTCATTTCTTTGAAGAGTATAAAAGAACCGTTGGATTAAACAGGTTTTACATTGTAATCCTAACACAAAACTAAAAAAAACGGGATTTATTCACGTATATTTAAATATATCGCTGGTTATTGACAGTATTCCAAAAACTGCGTTTAATATTTTCAACTGACCCACATTCGTTGCGGGTTCAATCAATAATAATTCATTTCATTCATTCATCTACAGCGGCTCCATTATAGCATTTTATTATCTTTGCTACGAATATGTACTTGAATTACAGAAATATATTTGTCTGAATAAAGTTATGCTCGTAAATAATAAAGTAACATTTTCAATTATTAATTCCGAATTCTTGTTTTTTTAATTTAATCAGAAATGGCGAAGAACACAATGACGTAGATGAAAATGTCGCCCTGTGATCTGCTGTATCTGTATCTGTTACAGTAAAATAGTCTTCTTTTACATATTTAATTTTGGTAATGGCAACAAGGGAAAACATTTTAATACGATGGCAAATGATACCTTCCCTGTGTGGTTTTTCTTGATTATACAATAAATATGTAAACGTGCATATAAATTGAAGTATGTGACATTGCTTCTCAAATTTGCTGTCTGAAATTTGGAATTGGTTAAGGTGATGACGGAACAACATGGAAGACTTGCGGATACTGAGATATGTGTTAACAAAAATTATTTAAGCAATTTTTGCTAAATATTATTTATTAATTAATTTTTTAAACTAATAATTTAAACTGCTCAAATTAGGTTTTACCATGATTAAAAAAGTTTATTTTAGTATGATGTAATTTCACGTTACTAATTTCTACTCTAGCTGGATTACACTCTATAATTTAACCTACGTATCCATAACTATTTCGTGTAGTCTATTAATCATAATTTAAATATAAATCATTATATAAATCATTAATTTCCTTATGTCATTATTATATATAAAAAGGAATAAAGATAATATTCAATGAGGCGGAGATTGTATCGTATTCTCTTCATTAAAAAGGCAGTATACCTCTTAAGGCTAATTCTTAAAGTATACCTTGAAGTAGGTTGCAAAAAAGCACTCCACACTATTATAATACTTTACCAACCAAATTTTTAACATTTACCTATAATTTCAACATAATTTGACGTCTTTTTCCCAAAAAAAAAAGAGTAAGAAAAAACAAACGAGGGATACAATTTATAATTATTTTTCTTTTGTAACGATAAAGATGTATAACTTCCTATGTACATAAATAAATATAAGAAGTGTCTGTGTGTGTCCACACTTTTATAATTATATTTATAGACAACTTCTTGTATCACTACATAGTATAAAACAAAGTCGTCCCGCTGTCTATCTGTCCCTATGTATGCTTAGATCTATAAAACTAGGCAACGGATCTTTATGTGCTTTATTTTACTAGATAGAGTGATTCAAGAGGAAGGTTTATATGTACAACATTGCAGCCGTGCGAAGCCGGGGCAGGTCGCTAGTAACGTGATAAAGCGACGCAATTGTTTGTTTACTCAACACAAGGTGCAAATAAATCATTAGCACTGTTACGTAAAAGCAATCGATATAACTGGCGTCATGATGTAGGCAAATAATAATATACGTAAAAAAATACTTTTGTGACATTGTAAATCGGTTTGAAATAATTATTAAAGTAAATTTATAAAATGTACAATATAAATAATAATTAAAAAAAAATCATACTTGGAAATTTTCACATTATGTTATATGTTTTATAAATTGTTTACAGCGATCTCGTTAAAAATTTGTTTGCTTTTTCATTATTAATTATTATAACTAGTTGTATGGTTATTAAGTGTTACTATATCAATTCTTGATAGTAGGAGATTAATATTTCCATTAAATTAATGTAAATTTACCCAGCTATCGTTTATATCCTATAACCGTTTATCTTTTTCATCCAAGAAACATTTCGATGTTTTTAGATTGAAAACTTATTTCATTACGAAATTACGGTATGTAAATAGGTTCTTTTTTCGCTAAAATTAATGTACTGGTAATGGTTTCACGACATTACAAGTGATTCCTACTGGAAAGTAGAAAATACAGGAAAACTAAATTATAATAATTTGAACCCGAAAACAATCAATACTGCCACAAGTGTCCACTACCATATAGGCAATTATTTAAGGATATCACTGCAATCAAATTTGACCGGACAAATGACGCTATCTTACGAATATAACAAGCAAATAACAAACTTAGTTTATGATAAGTGAAAAATAACTCTGAAAGTCAACTAATGTTAAATCTTTAGTAACGTCACGAAATATTTGCATCACCTATCATCCGATTAGACGGAGACGAGCCTCTAATACATACGTGGTTTAGTGTTTAGCGACCACGGTCAATGCAAATATTGGTGGTACGTACATTTAATTTCGTTTCAAATGGCTTGGAGTTTTATTGTTTGAAGTAGTATTTATTTTTTAGAAGTAACACTTTCTGAAAATTGTATTGTTTTATTGGCATGTCTTTACATTTTGAGTGGAAACATAATGTAATTATTATGATAACATTTTACATGTACCTATCATAAACTAATCGACGGAAATGGATATTAGCGGAGGGGCGTTATTCTTGCCTGAAAACGGTTAATAGTGACCTCGTTGTAATTAAATTAAGGAAGTAAAA